CCGACAATTGAACAAGGTTACTATTAAGAACAAATATCCTCTTCCAAGGATAGATGATTTGTTTGATCAACTTTAAGGAGCAAGTTACTTCTCTAAGATCGACCTCGGTTGGGTTATCACCAATTGAGAGTGAAGAAGATGACATTCCAAAGACGACTTTTCGATCTCAGTGTGGTCATTATGAGATTTTGGTGATGTCATAATCACATGTATTCACATTTTGGTTAACAGAAAATTTTAAGAGGTCCTTTTGATTCAAATTTAAGAACCCTTTTGCAATTAAATAAAGATTTGAACTAAGTCTTGAGTATGAGGGTGAGGAGAGTTGAGTTTCATATTTCAAAATGAGTATAAGAAACTATGTATTCCCAAGTATGTAATACTTTTACTTTATAGAGAAACATCAATTTCTAAATGAGTTTACAAGTTCAGAGGAGTTTCAGAGTATTACCTCTTTTAAGAGGATCTTTTGAGAAATTACCTCAAATTGAGAAAGATTTATGTTTTACACATTTGAGCATGAGTTATATATCATTGGGAGTAGTATTGAGCACCGATATGAGATGAGTTCAGACAACTCATAATCCTCATAAATTATGTATGCCAACATAGGTAAAGGATTTTCGCTCCCTTATTTTTATTTATTGCAAAAATGGGTTTTGTGCACAACCTAACAACTCTTTTTTTAGGTTTGTTTAAAAGAAGTGTCGTCACCTAACGAATTAAAGGCGCATTAGGGCACCAAACTAACCTAACTAATTTTAATTAATTTTAAAAGTTTACAAAATCCTAGATCGGATAAGAGTTCAAGTTACCTTGAGGGGAAGGTGTTAAGCATCCCTCGAGGTCTACAAATGTGGGTCCCGACCGTATCTCATACAATATATGTGGGAGTTAGGCGATAAAACAAGGGCCACTAATTTATTAAGCTAGCAAAAATACTTTATCATAACATACATAAAGGAACTTTATTCTTAATTCTAAGGCAAGTATAAACTAAGCGTAAATCAATTATTATCTAATTAATACAAGTCTAGGTGGTAAGGTAATTAGACATGCGAACTTATTTTTTAAAGCAACTAAGTTAAATCTATGCGAGTTAATAAGAATTGACACATGCAAAGCCAATAGAGGCACAAATATTCATGGATTCAGTAAAGTAAAGATATATGTTTGACCACCAAATAAAAAAATAAATAAAAAATACTTGCAATATTAAAAATAAAAGAGGGAGAGGGTGACCTGATCACTTCCAATAAAATTCTTAAAGTATTTGAATAATATGAATAAAGAGGAAAAGTTAATTCAAAAATAAAATAAAGTAAGGATAATGAGAATAAAGAATAGAGGAACTAACCTGGTTGCTTCCAAATCAAATGCTTAATTAAAGTATATCGTACAACATACAAATTTAAATAAACAAACAACATATAAAGTTAAAGTTGAGAGAGAGAAAGAGAGAGAGTAGGATCATGATATGACAAGGCTGAAAATGGGCCAATGGATGTTACTCCTCTATTCCTATTTTTTATGATCAACTCTCTTAAATGCCTTTAGAAAAGACAAAAAAATATTTTTTAAGAGAAATTATTCAAGAGTACTAAAACACATATTTTGATACTTCAAAAGTTATCTAAAAACTTAAAAACTATTTATATTTATGTTTGAATTTAGTAAAAGCATGTTGATAATTTAACAATAATAATAAGAGTTTTTAAGTCTTTGAGACCTTTAAAAGATTGACATATAAAATTAGAAAAGAAGGGACTAACAAGTGGCTTTATTTTTTATAAAGCTATATATGTGCTTCATATAAGAAGTCACTTATAGCCTGTCTATATTTCATCATCTCCCAAAACTTACCTAGCCCCACTTGGAGAGACGATTTCACTTAAGCTCGACTTAACTCGTTGATCCTTCACTAGTTGTGATTGAACTCCAAGCAATATCATTTCATCATGGTGCACATGTTAAAAATATTCAAAAAGGTGAGGATATATAAGTTCTTATGATTTATTTAATCAAAATTAAAAGTAAAATAAAAATACTCGCCAATTACTTTCAAACTCATAGATAGTAGATATTCAATTCAAAGTTTAGCCCATTAATTCAAAGTCAAACTAAAGTAATAACAAACTAAAATAACTATCTAATCCAACCAAACTTAGCGATTTCTTCACTGTAGGAGCATATATTAATTAGAAAGGGTGACCTGCTTCTTAACTAAAATTATGAAATTCATATATTCACTAGATATTTCTCATGAGCGCTAAATCAATAATACGAACTAGAGTTTTTTAATATATAATTATGTTTCACAACAATGAAAACTAAAAGTAAACCATGCTTCAAAATTTAGGATATGAGAGAAATTTGAAATAAAGTCTCTATCATACAAAACAAAACATAGAGCATGAAATATAATGATATAAAACTTAGAGATTATATTAAAGTTCAACTAAGTAGAAGAAGAGGGTCAGCACATGAAACGCTACGCGAAAAGAAAACAAAGATACAACCTTTGAATGTGCAAAAAACACAAAAGTTTCTCTTTTCTAGATCGCCCAAGAATAGTGAAATCCTTTCGAACTTGCGAGCGAATGAGCAGTGGCTCCTTCAGCAATTTGATCACCACTCTATCTGAAATTGAGGCTTGCGGGGACAATCGGTGAATAACCAAATCTCGACATAGATTGAACTTCTGATTCGAAGACCTCGACTTCATGGTGGTAGATAATGGACAATGGTTGCTGCTTGCCCTTTGATGGTTGCCTACCACTCTCTTATGAAGAGGAACAAAAAGAGACGTTGGGATTGAATTAGGAAAGCGGAAACTGTAGAGAATAGCAGAAAAAAAGTATAACCCGAGAACCCTTCTACTAGCCTAAGATCGTTAACTAAGATCGAAAGGTTCAACTAAAGAAGAGGAAGCTAGAAATTTAAAAGGAAGAATTTAGATAGGAGAACTTGATTATAGAAGAAGACTCTTTTATTTAAGTTGCTCTTGGGTTATTACAAATGCCTAATGTCACCTCTACTGAAGAGTTGACCAAAATAATCTATTATTTCATTCAATTCACTAAAGTAATATGAAACTTTGAAATTTTACAAAACTAATATAATGTTGTTGGTAGTAACGTATTAGGCTATATTTCATTTAAAAAAAATCAACGGACCAAAAATATTTGGAAGACGGTGTTAAAGAAGCTTTACGTTACTGGCAGTAACATTTTATGCTTAAAACGTTACTGTCAGTAACGAGTCTCTGCAAATCTGCCACTTTCGAATCTTTGTACCAAATTTCGTTATTACGAAGCACGTTTTAAAGGTAAAACGTTACTCGTAGTAACGATATCTGTTGAATCAAATCACAAGTCTGCCACCTGAGAATCTTTGTACGAAATTTGACGTCAAAGTCATTACTATAAATCATGTTTTGCCTATAAAACGTTACTCATCTGAGTAACGATTCTATCAAATCTAATCACAAGTCTACCACCTGAGAATCTTTGTACGAAATGTGACGTTAAAGTCGTTACTATGAGTCACGATTTAAGACTAAAATGTTACTATGAGTAACGATTCTATCGAATCATGTCACGGGGCTATGAAGATGTCTTGTTGATTTGATCTGCCAATAAAACGTTACTATACGTTATGTTTTAACTTTAAAACGTAACTGACAGTAACAACAAACTGCTAAAGTGTTTCTTTTACAATTTGGCCACAGATCATTATAAGAAATAGTTATATAGAATGTTTAGCACATTCCAATAATTTTTTACAAATATTCTGCTTGGATGCCCCATTGCTGAATCAATACTCACAAAATTTTAATAGGTATGGCTTGTCAATATATTGTAATGTACTTATAACATTTTTTTAATAACTATAATGCATCTCATTTTTGTGTGTAGGATTTTTTTATGGCTAATTTTGAAGATAACGTGATGATTGCTTTGTATTGGGGTGGTGAAATAATCACTGAAATGAACGAATTTCGATATAACAAATGTGTCAGAATGATTGTTAGCATGTTCATTTCGACCAACTACGTTGAATTAATTTAATTAATTAAATTGTTGCATGAGAAAATGGGGACTGATGGTGAAAATATTCAATTGGATATTTCTGTATTCATGCTCATTTCAAGGTAACATTATAAGATTTATTGAGTTCAAAATTGAGAATGACCAATCTTTGCTACAATCTTTTGCCATTCCTTGGAATTTTTTGAACAAAATTGATATAAATCTTTTGGATATGTATATAAAGATTAGACCAATAAATCAAGATAATCTATTTCGAATGAATGATCAACATGGTTATCATATGAACTTATTGGCTCAAAATTATGGATTTGCCACAATCAGCCTCATTTTGCATACACTGCAACACATGGTATCCATCAATCATTTGATGAAGGCTCGGGTAGTCAAAGACATATTGAGAGTAGCCACAACCAATATGAAATCAGGTAGAGTAATCTTTTCAAGTAATTCTATTTAGTAGCATGAATAATTAATTATTTTCATTTTATGTATTTCATGAAATTAACTTTTTTTTCTACAGAGAAGATGAAGCTACCTTTGATTTGTGTAATGATGCACATGCTCAAAGAAGCGATGAAAATTCGGAGGAGGATGCACTTTCAGAAGATGATGGAGAGAGTAAAGCCATTGAAAGTGAATCCGATGAAGATATTGGAGATTTACCTCAAAATGAAAGTGAGGTAAATTTTCAAAATCAATTTGATCAGGATGTATCCGAAATGCAAAATAATGATATACCTTACTTTACAACATTGGAGACTGAGGGAGATATTTTTATCTCTACTCGTGAATCCGAAATGAAATGTTGTTCTTTTTGGTTCGAGGATGCAAAAAAAGATTTAGAAAAAAATATGTGTTTTAGTAGTAAGCTAAGTTGAAATAGGCTGTGACAATTTGGAGTTTGTGCAAAAATAAAGAATTTAAGGTTGTAATATCAACTAAGAGCTTATGGACTGTGAAATGCAGATTTATAATTCATTGGGTTGTCCATGGTTTCTTCGTGGTCGGAAGGTTGGAGGTAGCCTTTGGAAGATAGAAAAGTATTTTAATAATCATAGATGTGAGACTGAAGGGCTTACAACAGGTCACACTAACTTAGATACCAATTTAATTGCATCTTTGTTTTTAAATCAAATACGTAAAAATCCAAAATTGTTGGTAGTGGATGTCATTTGTAAGGTTCATGAAAAATTTGGTCATCAAGTAACATATAAAAAAGTGTGGCTTGGACGTCAACGCGCATTTACATTGGTATATGGTGATTTTCAAAAATCATTTAGTGAGCTTCCTAAGTTTTTTGCAACTTTTCAATACTTTAATCCTGGAACAGTTGTGGAATGGAAACACGAAGAGTCAATGAGTTCACCAGAGGTAAAAACTTTCAAGTTTGTATTTTGGGCTATCAAGTCATGCATTGATGGATTCCAAACTTGTCGTCCTGTTATTTCAGTAGATGGAACTCATATGTATGGTAAATATGAGATAAAATTGTTAATTGTTGTTGGAGTTGACGGAAATGATAACATTCTTCCTCTTGCGTTTGGTATTGTTGACAAGGAGTCGAAAGAGACATGGAAATGATTTTTTAGGAAATTGAGTGCACATGTGATAAAGGATAGAGAAGATATTTGTATTATCTCTGATAGGGAAAAGGAATCTTGACTAGTTTATCAAAGTTGTGGCGATTTCAGAAGCCTCGGGCCTTTCATCGATTTTGTCTAAGACATCTTAAAAGTAACTTTCAATCTCAATTTCCAAATAGGGACCTCAGTAATCTTATGTGGAGGACTGCTACAACTCATCAAGTAAGGAAGTTTGAAGCTTTGATGTGGGAAATTCAAGAAAAAAATAGAGAAGCATATGAATACCTAATGTGAATTCCATTGGACAAATGGACTATTAGTCATGATGATGGAAAAAGATGGAGAGTATTGACAACAAATCTTTCAGAGTTTTTCAACGGACTTCTAAAGAAAGCTCGAGGCTTGCCTGTCACTGCTATGATTAGACTTTCTTTGGAGCAAACCGTTGAACGATATACTCATAGATGTCAAAAAACTCACCAACTTATAGAGCAAAATAAATTATGCACAAGCAGTTCCAAAAAGAAGTTGGAGAAAAACTAGGAAAGTTCAAAAAGACACTTTGTTTATGATTGGAATATATCCACAGGGGTATATGAGGTTAGATCAATACAAATTGATGGTACTGGTGGTAATCCTCATTGTGTTTCACTAAGTGAAAAAAATGTGATTGTGAAAAATGGGCTAATTTGCACTTCGCGTGTTCACATGTCATGAAGGTTACTGAAAGAATGGGAACGCTAGCTAGAAATTTTGCTAGCGAGCATTTCACAATAGAGAATTATGTTGCAACATATTTTGGGTCATTCTCACTGATTGGACACGAGGCATATTGGTCATCGCCAAGTTTTATAATGAGAAGTAATGAATTCTATCGGCGTCCCAATCGGTCAATAGCAGGCCGATTAGATTTGTAAACACCATATAATCCAAATAATCTAATTACTTCAAGAACTCGTGGATGGATAGGATATTTCTCTATGAGCTTCCAAAAATTTCCATCTTCTCTCCTCATATTAAGAATCATATTCACATTTCCTTCCCATATATCTTGTGATCTATGAGTAAGTTGTCCCGTTAATACATTCGATTCAACTTGTATTCACTATTATTAGCCATAAAAAATTTCTATGGAATACACATGAAAGTAAACTTAAATGTTAGCCCGAATTATTATGTAATTTTTTCTTGGCAGCACACTTCAAAAGTGAGGTAAAGTTAACAAAATCACATTTGAAAGTTTTAAGGTCATCCTCTTTAATTTAGAAGTGTACTGATAAAAGACAAACCATCTTAGACTACACTAAGCAACAATAGAACTCAAGTATAATTTTTTTCTTGATATATGTTAGGAATTGAAATCTGCAAAGAATTGTTTGAAGAGATGAGGCAAAATTGAGGAATTACGGAGAAGAATATAGATGGCTATTTCAGATATTTTCATTGTATGTTTACATCTGTACACTGGGCTATTTATACAAATGACTAAAGTGCTAATTACAACAATCAAACCTAACCAACTAATGAGCTCACGCAATTTAGGCTAACAAACTAATTATGTTATGTAACTAACTAACAAACAAATACTAATCTACAAGGCAATGTAACAGTGACTATAGCTCTTCTCTTCAATGCACTGCTATGCAATTTGTCAATTCCTCAACAATATACAATTGTTACAGCTTTAAATAACAATTCTGAGTTCAGTGGCCATGAAAGGAATCCTTAAATCGAATTAAACAAAACAAATAACCAGATAACATCTTATGTTGGAATCCAATTTCATGGATTGGTTAGCGGGTTCTTCAATTTATACAAAATAGAATCCTACTTACGATTCAATTCAATTCCTTCATAAAAAAAAAAACAAACCTTAAACAAAGAAATTACCTCGAAATACTTATGGCATTGAAATATCGTGAATCTCTTGTTCCGGCAACACTAATGGCGAGAATCGAAAACAGCGCCGTGCATATGTTCTCTTCGCGAGGGGAAGAAATATTGAATTGAAATTGGGTTTAGGGTAAGGTGAGGAAAGTACGGTAAATGGGGTAAATTGGGTTTAAGATAGAAGGATCAAAACTACAGGGTTTCAATATAATAATTCTAAAACGTTACCAGCAGTAACATGTTTCTACTTACTCTAAAATGTTACTAGTAGTAACGTATTCCTACTTTAACGCCATCCCCCGTTAGTTTTGGTCCCTTGCTTAGCAGAATTGTAACATGGCCTAATACTTTACTCTCAACAACGTTTATACTAGTTTTGTAAAGTTTTAAAAAAATGTATTACTGTTGTAAATTGATTTAAATAATAAGTTATTTTGGTCAAAAATTCAAAACTTATACATGTATATGGATGCTTTTACAAATTATTCTAGATACATCTACAAGAAATATCTACATATCCTTATCTTCTAACTATGTAACAAGAATCTAGATATTTCTATACTTCACTATAAATATCTAATTATCTAGAACATCTAGATTTTTCTTAAGTATAAATATCAAAGATATTTCTTCTTGAAAGGTCAACTAAATATCTAAGATATTTTTTATACCTCCAAAAAATCAACTTTAATTTTTCACACTCCCCCTTAAAGTGAGTTTTTTGAAACTACCCCACACTTGTCGTGAAAGAGCTCAAACGAAGCTTTGCACCACGTCTTGGTGAAGATCTCAGCAATTTCTTCCAGACTCCTCTTGCTTCGTCAAATGATAAAGATTTTCCATTATCGAATGGTCCATGTAAATTATCTCCCTGCTGAGTTCTTGAACTCCCCCTTTCTCTTAGCTCCTGTCGATAGTACTATTTGAATATACATCTACGATAGGCAAGTTTGGAACTCCAACGTTCAAGATTCTAGAACCTGCAACTTTATAACACAAAGAGTTGTCATCAATATAAGCTTCCTCATTTGAGTCGGTGATGATTTGATGGTCAATTTCCCGTGTAGCTTCAGCACTATGATAGGATCCATCATCAGATTTCCTTTTTATCTCTTCAATAACTTGTTTATCAGCTTCGGTGCTTCCAAAAATTATGTCATCTATATCTCCACCTAAAATTTGGCCTTCAAGATTAGCTTCTTCATCTATTTGATCTCTATCTTCTTCCTCTACTATCAGTGTTTGATCTAAGCTAGTAATTGACCTCGATATAGCAGACGCTGGACCAGAGACTTCAACTTTCAATACATTTCCCTCAATGTTTTCTCTGTAAAGGTCGCCACTAGCACCTGTAGTTTCAAATATTGCTTGTTCAAGATCTCCTTCTTTGATTTCTTCAATAGCAGCTACCATATCACCACTGGGAACATCCTCAAAAATTTCTTGTTTCATCTTGATAACATCAGTTTCTTGCTTTTCCATGTGATCGGCTATATTATATTCTAGAACCTTGATCTAGTCTCTTTCAAGATTGATGGAAATCATGACATCTATTACTCGAGCCTCAACTACTAAACACTTTCTCCACTCTTCTTCTTCTTCAACAGCTTTTTGAGCCATATTGCTCTCCTTGCCTCGATCGACAATATCTTTTTATGTGCCCTACATCAACACAACGATAATATCTGAGAGGCTTCTCACCGTAATAGTTAGAAGACTCTTCCTGCTCTCCAGGTAAGCATGAACCACCCGAGGATCAAGAGTGTGGAATATCTCTTATTTTCCCTTTAAAGTTCCTCTTGTTGGCTACAAGAACATTTTCTTCTCCTTCTTTGATAAATACACTAGCCAACTGCTTGGCTAGTAGTTCCTGTGACGACAATAAATTTTCAAAATCTTCCAAGGATGGTTGTTGAGCCCATACTTGAATCGACGTCACAAATGAAATATATTCAGTCTTCAAACCACGCGAATGACAATTCTTCTCATTCGTGCTTCAAAGATAACCTCCTCTGAATTCTATAAGCATATCTCAGAACATAAGTTCTTAATCTTTAAAAAATACTCGGCGATCGAAAGATTACATTGAGTAGTGTTAGTCAATTTATTCTCCAATATCAGCAGCCATGCTTCATTCTTCTTGTTGAACAAACGATCAAGGGTCCTCCATATTTCATAAGCTGATTTACACCTTATAATATGATAAAATAAACTGGGGGAGATTGTCCTCTTCATAATGAACTCCGCCTTTGCATTAATCTTCTTCCACTTCTTGTATGCACTGCTATTTTCCGGTTCGTCAGCAGGAGGATTTGTCATTCCCATTAACAACACCCTAAAAATCCTCTCCCACGAGATATGATTCCATTCATGTCTTCCATACCTTGTAATTGTACCGATTCAACAAATCCATCCCCAGTCAATTAACACGACCGCTTAAATCAATCTACACAAACTAGTTGAATCTACCAGCAATTCGATCTAGAAATAACACCCAGAAGCTAACGTATGACTATGACTCTGATACCATGTAAAGAATAGCAAAAGAAAAGTATAACCCAAGAACTCTTCTGCTAGCCCAAGATCGTTAACTAAGATCGGAAGATTCAACTAAAGAAGAGGAAGCTAGAAAGTTAAAGGAAGAATTTGGATAGGAGAACTTGATTATAGAAGAAGACTCTTTTATTTGAATTGTTCTTGGGTTATTACAAATGCCTAATTTCTCCCGTATTTATACTTGTATAGATGCTTCTAGAATTATTCTAGATACATCTACAAGAAATATCTACATATTCTTATCTTCTAACTATGTAACAAGAATCTAGATATTTCTATACTTCACTATAAATATCTAATTATCTAGAATATCTAGATTTTTCTTAAGTATAAATATCAAAGATATTTATTCTAGAAAGGTATCTAAGATATTTTTTGTACCTCCTAAACTTTAATTTTTCACAAAAACATCAATTCAAGGGAGAGTAATTTTTACCAGTAAAAGAAAAGATAAGCTGGTAATTTTTTCTTTTCAATTCCTTCTTTGTTTGTCGCGTGTGTTTCTACATCGACAGAAAAGATCCACGCGTTGGATCTTTAATCTTCCATATT